TGTATGTGCGAAAAACGCAAATGTTCGCATGATCGCAATTGCTGGAATGTCAATTGCGGGGAAAATTACTGCAAGAACTAAACTGACTTGCATGAAGTAGGAGGAAGAAACGCAGGTTGACGTCGCGGATGGCTGCATGCCAATCTAGGCCCTTAGGCACGACGATCCGGGGAAATGCGCGGGCACGATGGTGTTGGACTGCATTCGACCCACGCGTGATTGAACGTGCTTATATGAATTATCTGTCTATCAATGCAATCGAACATGCTAGGCTGATGTCGATGTCCAATCATGCCTTGTATGCGCAAGAATCGAGCCTCAAAGCCTCTTCTCCCTCTGCCACTTCTTGTCAAGAAACGCTAATCCTCCGTGTGTCATGTACCTTGGTTCAGCGCATCGGAAGGTTGATCTGTTATCCAGCCTCGTCGACCAAGAAAGAAACCGAACAGGCCTGCAGCCTACATTAACCTAAAAGTCTACAAGATAGGTAACCCAGCGTCGATGTAGGCCCTAGACCTGTTCGGTGTTTTTCTCATAAATAAGGTGCAGCCACCGCAGCTATCTAGCCTTGCAGCCTCTGCCGAATCTCAGCGACGACGTTCCGTATGCGCGGTTCCTTGACCTTTTGCTCGGCGCGGGTGATGGCATCGCCTATCTGTAGAATGTCTCTACCAGCCTCGCAGAAGTCTGGACCTAAGCACAGCAAAGTGCCTGTAGCCACGAGCGCGCGATATACAGCCTCGGAATCGGTAGCTGTAGTGAGAATCTTGGATAGATCGTCGAGCAAAGAAAGCGCACGGTCCGCGTTGTTCTCGGAGTTTAGCAGTACCGAGTAGTTGATATATAGTGTAGTGAGCGCGATGATCAAGTTTCGGTTCGTCGATGCTAAGAAGGGCGAGACCAGTGGGTGGATGTTATCAAACTCTGTGCTGGCAAGTAATCGTCCCTTTTCTGTTTGGAGCAGATTGCTGAGACACCGTATAGCCATCATTGTGTTGTTGGGCGGTGAGGATTCCGTGAAAACCCCTGATTCGATAAGGTTTGGTAACAGACTTTGCTCAGGCGACACTAAAAAGGCTGCCGGTTCCTCGAAAGCAAGGACAAGCCGTAGCAAATCTAAGGCGGGCAGACGCTTCTCTGCCGGCCACTGCGTTGCGGCTTTGACAAGGAGCTCCACGCCTGTAATGTCAATGCCCTTGCCATTTCCCTGCTCCAATGCCGTGACGGTCGCATTCAGCTGCTCCACGTCGGGCGGATTCAGCGAGATGCCCTTCTGTCCATCGGCCACAAGGGCCTCGTTGAACTCGGTAAGTTTCTTGAAAATGATCTTGTGGTTTCCTGTCGTGATGGGCAGGTAGTCCTTTTGCGGGAGTATCTTAGCGGCCGGAGGTGCGGGTGGAGGCTGGGTCGCGACTTGATTGGCGTCGCCGGGCCGATACCGTGCTTCTGAGCCCCACGGGTCCGTTCCCTGCGCACTACTCTGACCTAGCGTAGCACCCTGTGTGTTCTGAATAATGAAGTTGGCGACTTGGTCGAGGTACGTGAGCGGCAGCTCGTTGTCTTCGATGAACTTGCGCGCAGCTTCGTAGTGGTTCTGGTTGAGGTTGTAGGGTAGCTTCAGTGGAGGCTTGCCATCTTCGATATCGACGTCGAAGACGTAGTCGTACTCTTTGCCAGCGTGCGAGATCTTGCGTCCGCCGCTGCCCGCCGAGTCGACAACAGTGCCAACATTTACCCACTGATTGGCGGCTGCAGACCACTGGTATGCGGACACGTTGCCATTCATCTCCTTGATCATCTGGACCTGGCCCTCCTTGGTGCCGGAACGCTGTGTAAGGAACTCAGGGCCGGGCAATTGCTCCTTGTTGATGTCTCCCACCGTTTGCTGTGGTATCGAAGAGCCCTTGACATCGTCGTTGAATTGCTGGATCTCGGTTTCAGCAGCGTAGCGGGACTGGTCACGGGTAAAGACGCGCGCAAGCTTATCGCTCGCGCCAGTGACGATGTCGCCGTTCTCACCGCATACAGCTACTGTCCATACGGAGATGGCTGGGTGTGTGATGGTCTGGATGCACTGATTGTTTTCCCATATGCGCACCGTCCGGTCTTCACCGGCACTCACCAGGCCACCATTGGGAAGAACGGCAAGGGAATAGATAAAGTTCTCGTGACCGTGTAGCTCAGCCACCTGTTGTCCGTTGAGTGTCCACAACCGGATGACGGCGTCGTTGCCAGCGGAAGCGAACTGGGCACCAGAGGGATGATCCGGAGGCAATCGGCAGAGAGCGCGCACGACTTCGGGTGCTTGTATTGACCGCACCGGGGACGTGGAGCCTGTAGTGTGGAATATGCGGATTTGCTGGTCTGCGCAGCCGGTGATGATGGTGTTGCTGTCGTAGGCGAGGACGGCCCATACAGAGGCAGAGTGTCCCTGCAGCACTGTAGATTCGCCCCACTTGCCCACTTCCCACAGCCGTGCCTCCATGTCCCAGCTGCCGCTGACAATGTATTTGCCGTCCTCGCTGACATCCAGCGCGCACACATTGTTGCCATGTCCGATCAGAAGAGCGTCGGCGTCGTCGTCGAGGTTCTTGGTGGGCCGCCGTACGTCGATGATTTGGTCCTTGCCGCCCGATACGACAAGGCCTTCGGGGAACGAGGACGAGGGTGGAACGATAGCGAGGGAGTTGACGAACTCTTTGCCGTGCGTCTTGATGGTGCTGTCCCATATCGGTGGGCTTTGTGACTGCTGTGCCCAGACGCGTACTGTGAAGTCTCGCGACGCAGAGACAATGGAGGAGGGAGATGGGAATGCTACGCTGCGGACCTGTTGGTGGTGTAAGCCGTTGCTCTGCACAGTCTAGTAGTTAAATTTTGGTTATAGAGAAAGCTGCACGTACGTCGTCTTCGTGGCCGCGCAGAGTGGCTGATAACTTGAAGTCGGCCATAGTTGGGCCAGGGCGGGGTTGCTGGCTGGTGGTGGTGGTTGGCTTAGCAATAGAAGGGAGAAAAAAATAAAGTCTATGTCGCAGTGAGAGACGCGCACATCAAGCTCAAGGTGAGTGAACTCGTCCAAATTGCGACTGTCTGACGTTGTGCGTGTTTACAGCGAGTTGCTTGTCCCAGAGCTCGGTGATTGTCGACGTCAGCCTTTCGCGAGACAACCGAAGCACCCATGTCACTTTCGCATTATGTCAGCCTCGCGTGCTCCATTGCTCCTGCCGTGCCCATTGTAACTTCTTCACTTTCCAACACAAGACCATGTTCACGCTTGACGATTTTCTTTAAGATTTTCTTTCCTTTTTACATACGGACAAGCATCAGCATCTCACGTGTCGCTTGGCCTCAGGTACTCGTACGAGTGGCTTGCGGCTGAGCACCTGCCCAGGTGCTCTACGAAGCCAATAGCGTCAGCTTCAGCTTCCGCATGTCTGGTCATACGCATCTAGCTTAACGTTCATCTCATCACGATCTTAGATTCCCTTCCATCAGTCTGGTACGTGGTCGCGGCCAATGTCGCTTCCGTGTTGCTGTCACGGAAGACTGAGTCTCAGCTTTCGGCGTCCGCGTAGTGTCTGGCTAGACGGCTCGTTCCACACCACCAACCTTCTCGTATGCGCTTCCATACACTCTGGCCTCGATGATTCCCAATTGTTCGTTCCAGTACGGAATCGTGGGGTCGCAGCAACGCATTAACTGTCATCTGTCTTTCTACGCATGCAAAGATCTCCCATCGGAGACCTGTCGGCTTTTGAAACCGGGGTAGGGCATCTTGACCGAACATACTTTTCTAAAGGTGTATTGAGACGAGGATATGTAGCAACATTTACAGTTTCCTAGGAGAAGCACAACATTCGTTCGTGATCCCGCATCGCACTCTCTGGTACGCGTCGTGGCGTCCCAAAGAAGCACGGATCGCCGGTGGTGGGCCCAGAACCTCCCCCCACCAGATTTCCTGCCAAACGTCAAAGTCTTGGTCGTTCGGTCGTGGTGCAACACCGGCTTGAGGTTTCCCATGCCATCGCAGCCTGCTCCCCACACATCCTGGACGGAATCCTCCGCCCCGCCTCTTGGCCGCCCGTCTCCATAACGGAGAGCGGCCTTCGCGTTTCGCCGACCGTCTGGAGTCCGTCAGTACCAACGGTAGCCTTTCATGCGCAGGGCAAATGATTTCCCTGGTCTCCCGGACTTCCCTGGTCAGTTGACTCTAGCTGCTCTGCTTTGCCGCTTAGTTGACATGCCCTGCGCCTCGCATCCACCATGGCTCGCGTTCGGCATTGTGCTGCAGCCACTAGAGCCTTAGCTCTTCGCGTGACATTGCTTACCCTGCCTTTCCACGATGCGCTTGCAGAAGACCGCCCTGTTTGTTCTAGCCCAGCCCGCGCTACACTTGCGCCAAGCCACTGAGTCCTCTGGACGAAGCGATGCGTGTCAGCTCAAATCTTGCGCTGCCTGCGAGCGATGGGAGACCCTGTGACTTGCCTAGATGCGGTCCATGCAACCGCCCATGTCACTGAATTTGAATGCGCCGTCCAGGACTGACGCCAGCGTGCCATGGCTGGAGACGGCTGCATGCCTACAAGAGCGCCAGTAGCCCTCCTTTCTTGCCTTACACTCCGCTTTCACCTCGATCTGCAATACCCAACTACGCTCTCTACAAGCATTGAGCAATCAGCAATCTCGCCATATATACAATCATCTGAATCGCCAACAGCATAAAATTGCCTGTTTCCGGCGATCTCGGTACCCTTGACTCAGCCTATCCAGTCTCTCGGATTCGCGCGGCGCCTCCGTGATCAGCGCCCGAACCCTACGTACCCCTACGCGTTCTTGCGTAAGGTCAAAATCGTCACACCTGTGGCCGTTGTCCTTTTGTTTTTAACGGCAGGGTCCTACGAGCATCTGCCTCAAGAAGCCTTCCTCTGCCCGCAAAACCTTTCGAGTATCAGCAACAACCTTCTCACACTCCTACCTTGACTCTCACACAACACCTTCACACAATGGACGCACCAATGATCGAGCTCAAGTCGGCCCTGGCCTCGTAAGTTACATCCTTCTGTCCCTCCAACCCAGCTAAGTCTGTTAGACTGTTTGCATGCGGACAATACTCAGATCTGACCATTGTTTGTGGCGCCAAAAGATACTCAGTACACCGTATCCTCCTCGCAACAAGATCCACCTTCTTCGAGGGAGCCTGCCGCAATGGCTTCAGGGAAGCAGAAACCGGAGTGGTTGACCTCAGCGAAGATGACGCAGAAGCTGTTGAACACATGGTGCACTGTACGTATTGCATGAGGCGATGGGACCCTAGACTGTGCTAAAGCTTTCTAGACTTCTACCACATGGACTATCTCACCAAGAAGTCACTCTCGCGCCGATCCTCACAACGATCGAACCGACCTACCTCTCTACGATCATCGATTACCAAGAGGAGAAGCCCCCCAAAGAAGCTGAACCTGGCCCAAGTCGAAGACCCGCTCCTTGCACTTATGGCAGCAACCAACAACTCAATGCCGCTGACTCCTCCCGCCGACGAGCCAATGTTTCAAAGCATCGATGCATCCTCCAAGCTGCCCGACACGCCGATGGCCGATCAGTTCTTCGAGGATGATGATCTGGAAAGCGAGCAATCAGAGACTGAGTTCGACATTGAGACGACACATCTCATCACACATGCCAAGGTCTACGCCATCGCTGAGAAGTAAGTAGTACCATTCTCTCGTCATTGTTTACTTTTCTACGTTTTGCCTGAATGCGCGCTGCGATTTGCGGGGTTGCTTCATCTGCGCCTGCAGCTCTACCTCCCATGACTGGGGTGTGTAGCGCGTGGCACGGCGGTTGAAACGCCGACAAACTCCGCCATATGCGTCACCGGCACTCTACCTCGCCAATCGCACCCCGCGCTGTACACCCCACTGTACCTTTGCATACACAGCCCTTTCGTCTGTTTTTCTTGTGTACGATTTCAAGATGCACCAATTACCTACTATGGTCCTTGGGCCTCCATGGCTGCATCTTCGAAACAGTCCGCGTCAGCGTACTACTACTCCCTCTCCAATCACGCACCCATCTTCCATCACACCTCCTTTGGAACTTGCTTGCTAACGGTTTATGGCAGGTATGGCATTGCAGGCTTGAAAGCGCTTGCGCGTAGCAAATTTGCAGAGGAGGTTGACCTGCACCTCAGCAGTGCCGACTTCCCAGAGGCCTGCCAAGAGGCGTACGAGTCTACCTACCACACTGACCGTGGTCTGCGAGACGTCATCATCCAGACCTTCCGTGCCAACCCCAGCCTGTCGCTGCGACCCGATGTCGAAATGGCCGTGCGAGAAACACCAGGTCTTGCTTTCGAACTCTTCCGTATGGCGAGCGGACTTCCTGTCTCTTCCTGAAGGGAATTCCATCACAGTCGTTCCCGCATCGACCCAATCATCGCTGCCCCGCAGTGTGCACGAGTATCTGCATCGCCGCTGCAAGCATACGACTCAACTCTATGTTGAATCTCGTCATCTATCTGTGTAGAATCCTACGCGCGTCCAAGACCGGGATCATCCTGCGGGTGGTACGCAGCCGCCACACAAAACGTCTGTCTTGGCTAAGACAACGTGTTTCACGACAGTGCTGCAGTCAACCGTCGACGTGATGCGGGGTCAGCATGTCTTACCAACCTTATCGAGCCGCGCATCCGCGTAGTTCAACGTCACACCCGGTGTGCTTGAGCCAATGGCTTACTGACTCTGCTCATTGGCAGTTTCTCTTTTTTCTTTCTGGAGAACTTTTGCAGTACTTTTAGCGATACCAATGAGCGACCTTGTATTATTCTCTTCGTAGTTTCATCGTCATGAATGTATCCATTGTAACATTTGCCCTGCCCAGATCTTAAGATCAGCTATATCACTGTGCATCAATACCCAATGTCTAGGCGCCAATGTCCCCGAGGGGCATACACCAGAAAGATACGTCATCTCGTCCTATGAGGTTTGCCATGTCGATAGCGTTTGCTACAATACTATTCTCATCTACACGGAGTTGCCAACCGCCGCGCACGTGCTTTACATCATAATGATAGAATTGCCACCTCCTGAACGGGAAAAATCGAGCACCTACTTAGCGAGCTGAAGTTTACATCCCTACAACGTCACAACAACAGCCTTTTAAAGAATTATTATTATATAGAGAGAGAGAGAGCTCTATATAAAAGTATAAGGTAGAGCTTCTTTAAAAAATTTAGAGCTTCTTGTTGTATTGTGCAGCGTACATTGAAGTTTGAGGCTATTCTTGGCGCTCGACTTTTCCCGTTCAGGTGGTGTTGCCAAAGAATAGCCTTTAGTACGGCCCGCAACGTGGTCTACATAAGAGCCGAAGATCGCGCATTAGCCACCACCGGCCCTACACGTGGGGTTTTGCTCACTCTTCCTTGCCCTGGATGTATACAAGCCATACCAAGAGATCTACAAAACGTTTTCGGTCCGTTCCTCCTCCGATCTTGCCTGCACCCTGCAGAGCAGTGGGGACGGATCTAAACTGCTTACTGATCTGTGCCATGTGGCTTTGAAATCAGACGCGCGATAGAGTTTTATGGTGTTCGTGCGAGCTGTTTGTCCGGATCATGGTGGTGAGAAGACGGGGTCAGTGCATGAAGTTGGTCGGTTTTGCGAGAATCTTGATGTTGAGCATGGGTGTCTTGTTTACGCTTTAGACTTGAGTTCCTTCTCGAATGTTCTGCGCATACATCACGAATGCTTACTCGCTGGAAGATTTTGCGATACGTGGGATCTCGATACGTCAACCATGACACGCAGATATCGCATTTTACTGAGAGAAGAGACCGTAGATTGGTTAATGACATGGGTAAATTCATTGTGTTCTGTTTCTGCTGACTTGTGTACGCGCTTGCCGATGATAGTGATACAGGGAAGGATTGGTTACTGCCACTATCATCGCCGTTAGGCAACTGTCGCTGGGAGTGACGCTGGTCATCCTGGAAATCGAAGTGGCACTGGACAGGTGGGGCGACAGATTCTATGACATGAGGGCATTTCAGTAATGACGAGCGCAGTAAGGAGGTGTGCTGCTTCCAAGGAACAGTGGAGGATGAAAGCGATGGTATCTGTGCCTAGATATCACAGGAGTGTAGACAGAAGTGGAAATGGTAGTCGGCGAGAGCATCGTAGGGATTGCATCGATCGGGTATCATCATATCCCATCATCGTTGCCCTTCTCTGCCATTCAACGTAATGTCGTAGATTGACGATGTATTCGGTCGGTAAGCCTCGACTGTGAGGCCACGTGTGTATAGAAAGTAGCATGCGACGATGGCCGTGTTGGCAGCGAGTTGTGGTTTGCGGTATCGGAGTCGACGCGCCGTTTGCGTGCAATCTCACTCATCGTTCATACCTCATCGCGCCCTTTCACTTCGCGAACTTTTGTATCCGATACTGCAAACTCTTCACAGGCACGATACCATCTCCATCTCTTGTGAGAACCTTGCCTGCGTGACCAACCTCAGCCAAGACCGATAACCTCAACCCACCGTCAATAGAAATGAATGCTCCAAAGGGGACTCCGATGCTAACAGATTTGTGTGTAGATGAACCGGCCGTCGCTGACTCGTTTCCGTTGAAGAGGCTCCCCGACGAGCTCCTCCTCCAGGTCGTCGCCCAAGTCCCCGAAGTCGATCTCCATAACCTCAGCTTGGCCGCCAGACATATCGGCTCCATGGCGCAGGAGGCACTTCATCGATACCCCACGATCTCTTACACCGACAATGCCATGCCGCGACAAATTGCCCGACTGGCTCGCACCCTCTTCAGTCGTCCTGACCTAGCACGCGCAGTAGGCCTACTCACGCTGCGGCCCATCATCCATCTTGTCGAGATCCCATTCACCACATTGTCCGCGGCTGGCAATCCAGTACTCCAGGGCTTCTTCCAGCACACACGCGTGTATATGGGCGAGACACAGATTGCGGCACTCCTCCTTGCTTCTCTCCCGAACTTGAAAAAGCTCGATCTGCAAATCATCTCCAACGGTAGCCTGCATGAGCTCGACAGCGGTCGTTATGGCCATGCATGTAGCGTACAGTGCAGGCTTCCAGTCAAGGCTGGGTCACACCCCCTCGATATCGCCATGAACCCAGGATTGAAGGCGCTCCGGAAGCTGCATCTGCATGCTCGTCATATCAGCTGGGATTGGCTGGCGTTGTCTTGCCTGAGGGCTGTCACCCTTGGCCTTCACTGTAGCGTCGATTGGGATACTGCATCAGCAGGTGTCTCCAGGGTCGAAGAACTGGTGCTGAATCTGACCACCGAGGTCTTTCTTAACGACGACCGGAGATACAAAGATCTACCCAAACTCTTTCAGCGAATGCCCTGCCTGCGATCGCTCACCATCAACATAAGCAACAAGTGCTTAGCTCCAGGGCCAAATCAGATCGAGGCTGATATTCTTGGGAATGATGCGCGGGGAAGCATGGAAATCCTCATCGAAACTATGGCTGCAGTATCGCAGACACTAGAAGTGCTGTGTATCAAGAAAGCCGGCACAGATCCGGATTACTTCAATTACCTGGAGCCGGTAACAAGCCTGGCCCACTTCAACCAAATGAAGCACCTTCAAATACCCATTGAAGGAGTTTTGGAGCGTGGCCAGTTGCGCCTCTCAGGCCTATCTGTAGAAGCCATGAAGAGGTTGGAAGATGTGTCCTCGGAAGATGCTAGTCTGGCATTCCCGGCCTTGTTGGGATGATAGAAAAGGGATCGACCGGCGATAGATACATAGAAGACATAAATACTAATAGATCAGTACACCAGATGGCCGGAAGGTTGTCAGAGTCGAGATGTTGATCATGCGCATCCGTGATAATGGGTTGGGGTCATCCAGGCTCCGGTTTTGTCAACGGCGTCATCGTGCGGAAAGGTCGCGAATGCCTCTTGGGTAGGCTGAGAGTTTATGTCGGGAACGCAGAAAACATTCGCTGTCTAACCGGCGGGGGAGAGTATGATATAAGACGGTGTTGGTCTTGGGGACCCGACGACGCCCTAGCGCTAGCGTGGTTCGCGCTGACACCTGCATGCGTTAATTCTCCGGACCCGAATAGCTTCACGTTGCGTCATTGGGCATGCGATGTTCTACTCCCTGCGCAGCACTGCTGCATGATTGGTAAAGTCTGGAGAGCACATCTATCGCTTATCTGTTCAAGAAGGGGCTGCTGGCGAGCCACATTCGTGCCCATGCGTCGCGTCGGCGTAATTTCACGATGGACGCGCGCAACGCGTCGCTCCTCCATCAAGAACCTCAGATTCAACCTCACCGATGTGTAAAATGCCCTTCAGCTGTCCGCCACATATTCTCAGGTAAATTTTCTGCACTGCACTAACGCGCCTGTGGCAGTACCCGTGTCTGACTCTGACGTGGTTTAGGGCATACAAGAATGGCGACTTCACCGACTTGGTTATCAGCTGCGGCAATTCGACATTCGATGTGCACTCGGTCGTCGTTGGCTCAGCATGCGAGTTCTTCGCGAAGAACATCAAATTCGGTGGAAAGGTGAGCCAGTAGCCTTTTGGAGCCAATCTCCTGTGCTGACAGCAAAGCAGGAAGCTGATGAGCGACGCATCGATCTGCCAGACGATGAACCAGAGATGATCCGACGCTTGATCGCTTACCTGTATCTGGGTGACTACGATCCCACCGACGACATTGGCATCGCCACGTTCGAACAACTCAAGCAATATGACCTCAACACAGCAGCGGCGCCCGCTCACCACCCCCGCCGGTACGCATTTGGAAGCTCTCAGCGTCATGATCAATGCGCTTGCCTCGCGTTGAACCTCAAGAATATCGAGCAGTCGGAAATGAAAATAGAGCAGCAGAAGAAAGCGTCCCAATACGTCAGCCACCGAAAGCCCGACAACAGCATCGAAATCACCAGTCCGCTTACAATACACGCGAGCATGTATGCGCTCGCTGATAAATATCAGGTGAAGGGGCTTAGCCGACTTGCAAAGACCAAGTTTCGCGAGAGCCTGGATCACCACGTTGATTCGGAAGACTTCATCGCTGCCGTGCAACTCACGTATAGCAATACCCCAGAGACCAACCGCGGTCTTCGAGACGAGATAGTGCAGGCTTTCCGGACATATTTCAAGGTGGACATCACTGAGTTACCTGGCCTGGAGTCGAAGCTAGACACCATTGACGAGTTGGCTTTTCTGCTTCTCAAATCCTGGCCCAGGAAGATGGAATCCACAAGCCCTCAGAAGTTCGCCTCGTCTGCAGGTGCCGCTCACACGGCTTCTCATCTGGTTATTACCGCTGGTCCGCCCACCTCCGGTACCAACGCGACTTCTGGTTCTTCCAACGCTCCTGTGACGAGCACTGGGTTTGCCTCTTATGCTCATACGCCAGGTGCAACTACCTCTAGTACTCCAGCCACCGGAAGCTTGTTCGGAAGCCTCCCCCCACGTGCTTCGGGTGGATTCGCAGGCTTCTCGTTAACACCCAGTGGTACTGGTAACGCTGGATCAAGTCAACCAACTCGTCTTTTCGGATCTCCAGCGTAACGGGTTTTCCTGCTGTGATACTCAGTTGAGCCTTTTTCCCCTGTCTTAATATACTGCATACATCCTTTTTCCTTGGTTTCTGGGCTTCGTTTAGTGACATTACTTCGCGACTTCCTCTTCCTTGTTCGTCCACGCGCGATACCCCAACCTCCTACTACTCGCGGCAATCACTCCACCCCATACCTTCCACGAGTCTTTGCAGATCATCGAGCGCGCCTTCTCGCCGTATGCGACGTCTGTGCGAAGCTAAGAGCTCTATCCTTGTCATGTCTTTCTCTTGTACTTCTTCCCATCATCGACCCGCGCGAAAACCCGGAGAACTGCAATTGGCACTGCTGCATTCATCGATTTTGGTCTCTTTTTGGAATTACACATTATATACACGCATCTCTCGCATTGGTTTCACAATTTCGAACTGAACCAGAATGTCGACTTCGAACACAGACGCCGATGTCGCCTTGCCGCATACCTCATTGCTCGCATACTTCCGTGACTCTGCAGCTGTTCAAGAAACGACAGACACCGGTATTCTTTCCAGTAACAACACCGATGGTACCAACGCGCATCAACTGCTCCATCCGCCCACCGATGACAACGAAGACGAAGAGTCAGGACTAGGCTTCTGGGGCGAAGTGGATGGAGCTAAGAGCTCGTCTGAATCATACTCATTCGGCGAAAGCAGATCAGCTTGGCGAGGAGCAGCCGCTTTCTGCTGTCTTTGGTGTGCATTCTCTGTCATGATCCTCGGCGCCTTTAGCCTCTATTTCGCTGTCGACCTTGTCCTCAGCCACTACGGACTGGGTACCGGGATGGCGGAGTGGGTCATGTACAGACAACAGCTCCCACCGACCAACATCCGTGGTGTGAGTCACTCGAAAGACGACAGTGGTGTCGATGAGTAGAGTGCTGATGATTAGTGTGTCTTAGATAAGGTTCTGCCTTGAGAGTCCGAACCGCGAGGCACCCGGCCCGCAGGCCTGGCACTACCTGAAAGCAGACACTGGCGAACACTGCACGACCGATACCATCGACTTCATTCTCAACCCAAAGGAAGCATGGAAGGTTCAGCCAAATGCGATTCTGCTCCTGAGGGAAGATGCGTCATACCTGGATCAGCATGGACGGATTCGGGCGCCCGTCATTTCTCGAGGACAACCACAAGCTCCTAAGCTGGGTGAAGATGTTACAGAAGAGCATCACTTGGGCCAAACAGTTTGAGAGATCACATACGGAAGCTATCACAAGCACTTGGTGAATGACACTGGCATTCATTTTCTAGTCTACTTCATTCCTCACGCTCTTTGTTTGGCATCTTGTAATAGATCTCATGCATCTCCTCTTTCCAGCTGTGTCCCTTGACGATACTAACATCGCCGCTACGAGAACGCGCGCTCCTAGTAAAGTTCTCAAACAGTCGAAATCATTCACTCCTTGTTCGGACTGAGTGACGCGGAGGTCCCCGGGGTTGCGATGCGTATCTTTTGATACCATTCCTTTGCGTGTGAGGCGTATGAAACGTGGAAAGTGTGGCTAGCTTGCCGTTTCTGGGCTGCCTCTGAGTCATTGGTGAATGACACAAGTGTTGGAAAGACTTCTTCATCGTCGAAAGATGGTACTATCGCCTCATCCGCGCGTGCCCATATTCGATAGGCTCGTGGATCTTTCTCGTCCGGTACTGTGTCGCATATGGCGCGCTCGGCAGGAGGACTTTGCAGGATCACTTCGTAGTGCATCTCGCGACCCGCGATCCAATCGCTGTATTTTTCGTACATCGTGACGCACTGGTCATCTTGGGCGTCTTCAAAGATCAGATACACAGCTTTCAGGTCCTGGAAGAAGTGGTGAGCTTTGTTGAGCGCGTCGAGCCAAGCAAAGGCCTTGACGCTTGGGTGAAGAAGCTCAATCACCTGGATACTAGCAGGAAGAAGCTTGCAAGGGTTCGGAAAGCCATCGCCAAGAAGAAGATCCTGTGTGATAGTAAGAGTTTCCAGCTGCTTGAAGAAAGCAAAGGTGGGGACCGGACCCATCCACTTCAAGAACTCTTGGTCGAAGCTGTCGTACGCGCTCACTGAGAGGGTTTTGAGGCTAGGCGCAACCCGAGAAAGGCAATAAATCATCCTATTACTCTTTGCACGCTTGGAGTCTTTAAGGATAGGCTTGACAATAGAGAAGCCGCCAGACGAGTGGAAGTTGGTGAGCTGGATGGAGAGATGTTCCAACCGTGGGAACGATGTGGCCGAAAGAAACCCGGCATGGAGCGCCCCGTTGTGATCAACTTCCTTTGCGACACAGCTAGCGAGCTCAAGTTGAAGAGTATCAACAGCAGGAGCGACGAATGAAGCGGGGACCCTGCATTCTCGCGCGACCTCTAAGCACTGCAGCTTCGGCAGAGTACACCAAGTCTTGTCAAGACGGCTGCCGAAGAACCGCAAAGTTTCGAGTTTCTTGAGGCCACAGATCTGTGATAAATCCAAAGCTGGTCTGTTGACAAGGTTCCTAATTCTTGCGTTGAGGATGCTTTTCATCCGAGAGGACATGATCGGATCGGTGTGTTTGGGTTTTAGAAATTCCACGAGATAGTACCCAGGCTTTCCAAAGAGTTTGTCGAGAGGATCCTCTGCGTAACGCTGCTGGGACCATACAATGCGTTCGTTATACTCCACATCGTCGTCCGCCACACGAAAGTCAGGCATAGTGGCGAGGATCTCTATCTCCAGCTCGACCAGATTTGGAAGTAAAGCGAGGATAAGACCACCACAAGCTTTGCCGTCGCCAGAAAGTAAGCGCGCTTTCCAGTCTGGCACACGGATGGCCCAACCAGTGCCTTTAGTACCCATGTCGTCGATCACTCGTAGTGCTTTAGCCTTGTCGTCAGAGTTCCATTTGGGAGGCGACGTTGCCTGCTGTCTTATAAGACTCATTGAGAGCTTGCGAACGCTGGATGCTAGTTCAGGCCGGTGAAGAAGCGCAAGCGCAAAGGAGAAGACTTGTTCGACTGCGCAGTGGTAGTTTCCCGAGTAACGCTCGTTAAGGGTAAGGTTGGTGTAGAGCTTTTCATTCGCGATACGTCGCAGCTGGTGCGTCGCGAGGCAAATATGAGCGAGGTCGCGTGGTTTCATGTATCCTGTGATATCATCGAGCAGCTCCTCTGGTAAACAGGACAATGCTGCCATGTTCGTCGAAGGAGACATATCCGCGTCCGAAGGTGAAGTAAGCTTTGCTTCGGTTTCGTGGTGCTGCATCTTGGTGGGGTTGAAATTTGGATCAAGTTGAGGGAGTGCAATGGATGAGAGGTATTGGGGAATGGGCAAGGAGCCCGCAAATTTATATGACTGAGCAATGGCCACGCAGACGCGCAACCTTGTGGACCGAGTCAATTCACCCATCTGCGAACGCCCAGGCTTCTATCGCTTTCACTGTTGTCGCCACTGTCTCAAGACCCTCTTTGCCTCATAGCGTAGGCTACCACTAGCCTGCGTGTTGTGCAGCAGCTTCCTTCACATGTTCTTCCAAGCGGATACGCTGCGGCGTCTTTTGCTCACCACCGGGGTACGCATAATTGGCAACTGGGGCCTATGAAGATGTGAGTAAAGTACTGACCAAACATAGTAGACTGCATTTACCTGGGCATAGATTTTGGCTGCGATCTCGACTTGCCAAGTGACGTCTTCTTCCTCGCGATGGTACCAGCACTCTTCATTCAGTGAGTCAATTTCCTTAGATATGACCTTCGTCTCTGACCCGTTATTCTTCAGATGTCTGTAGGTCGGCAATATGACCTCTAGAAAATTAAGCGTGATACGCTCCTCGTCAAGATCTTTCGCGTCCCATCGACTGAATGGTGTGACCATGACTAAGGTGACTTTTGGGCTTTTGGCAAACGAAGTATTCTGAATGAAAGCAATGTCGCGGCGGAATTTGTTGTAAACACCGTGTTCCCTCCAAACAAAATCCGGGGGTGGTACCTGGGGCTCTTCATCATATGTACGCACGCTCCAACCAGCTTCTTCGAGGAAGTCCTCGAATCGTACGTACACCACGATGTTCCGGACATGATCTCTGGGAATAGATCCGCACGGGAAAGGCGTGTTGATAAATTCGCTCATATGTCGTGCATCGCGGAGGTGGAATACGTTCGTCTTGAAGAAAGTCTCGGTGATTTCCAGAGCCATCTGAGAACCACATAACTTGGGGTCAAATATGAAAACCGCTCTCAGAGCTGCTAGCCGTTCTTTAACAATCTCCTCTTTCTCGACCAGACAGAGTTGGGGAGGCCAATAGTCCTCTTCAAAGAACACCAAACTCACTACATCTCCTGTATCGTGCTCATGGAAGAATTCGTGGTCAAGATTCGGTATGTGAATACCATCGTCCTCGTGGCATAGGTACTCGTAGATCATGAGACGCAATTCTGCAGCACCTCCCAGAGCATTCTCGAGGTTCCTAGCAATTTGCCTGATATCATCGGTTCCATTTCTCAAAATTCGAGAGTTTGGATCGCTGTGTATAGTCAGTAACTCGTTATTCCTCGATCTGTAAAGCTTACCTGTTGAGTCGATTCCTCTTAGCCCCTAGGTCGTCCAGTACATCATCTTCGCAGTCGTCGATCAGCCCTCTCTTGAGTGAGCTCGTCATTGCACCTGCGCGATGATCGTTCCTTGGAAGTAATAAGAGAAGACGTATTCTCGACGACGCAAGTGTCTACAAATGGAGTTGATAAAGTTCAAAGGATGAAGGTCAAGATAAGTCGCGGAGTCGTGTCTTGGTTTCAGGGCAGCCCGGGTCAAGCCCAGGCCACAGTCTAAGACAAAGGCGCACCGTAATTCTTCGTTGGGTTTCAGGGCACAAAGAAACTTGTGCTGGCCCCCAAGACTACTTGCGCCGGAAGCAGGGTCCAATAGCGAGAGGCGGCAGTCTGAGAGCATCTGGGTAGCTGCCCAGCCATCATCGCATGTACCGTAGAATCGTAGCGACTATTACAGCTGCAACAAAGTAGTGCAGATTTCGGTTGTTAAACTGACGTCGCATGCATAAATGTTCTGTGCCGAACATAAAGTTAGACTACCTAGGTAGGTAGGCTTCCCCCGGGTCAACAAGCCTGGAATTTACTTGTCATTCCTTTGATGACTATAGAGATCACGGTAAACACCGACATGATTGCGCAAAGTGCTACTGTACTGGCCTAAGCAATTTCTCGAATGTATATCGCCCAAGTCATCATAGACGTAGAGATGCGTGAAGGAAACGCTCTAGAGAGCGGTGCCGACCGTTCCAGCCATTTTGTTGAGATGCCGACGTTCTTTGTCCATGTCGCCAGGCGCTGTGTTTCTCCATATTGCGACTCTTCTCTGCAGTTCGTCTTCTCCCTCCCTTAACCGCTGGTCATGAAGCTCATGAGAGCGAGCTAGTAACGTAGCATAGTGGGGTGGTGCTGGTTCCTTGGGGTAAGCGTAGCGGGGATACTCCCGCGCATTCCATCTCTGCTCAACGTCAGTATAGTAGCAAAAAGATCAGCTAACAATCCGGCGTACTTCTTTATACTTTTGTTCTTCTAGCTCATACAGCCATGTGATTTCGAAGTCCAGCGCGGAGGCCGTCGATGCATACTCTTCCTCGGCGTCGTCGGCTTCTATCGTGCTGACTGTCACTGTCGCACCAGTACTCTTGAGGTCATGATAGGGCTCGAGTGTCGCTTCGATGAAGTTGAATAAGACCCGCTCTTCCTCGACACCCTCGGCACCGTAGAGGCCAAACGGAGTCACTATTACCATAATGATGTGTGGTCGCGAAGGGAAGGGTATCCTCGAAAAGGCTTTGGCCACGCGATAGACCTTGTCGTCATAGACATTGTTCTCGCGCTCTTCCCATGGAAAATCTTCATCCGTTTCTTGCGCTCCGGCAT